TACTGGTTGCTCCAAACCACCACCTTCTCCTTCACGTGCTCAGAAATGGCCATTTGCTTCACAGTCTTCCCAGACAATGAGGTCACGCTGACTGGCCTGGATCCTCCCTCTTTGCCCTTCTTGAAGATGCACGTGATGGTTGCCTTTTTCCAGGCATCAGGAACCTCCTCCAATTGCCATCACCTTTGGAAGATGCTATTGGCCAGCTCCTTCAGCACACTGGGATGCAGCCTCTCTGGTCTCGCAGGGGACCTCTAATTGGCTTTAGTGATCCCTAACTCTCCCCTCCCCTCCCGCGGGTACTGCTTCATTCTCACACACTCAGCTAGCAGGCTTGGGAACCTCGGAGCCCTGAGGACAAGCCTTACTAGGCAAAAAAAGGAGGCAAAAATGGCATCGAGTACCTCAGCCTTTTCCACGTCCCTTCTCACTACGTCCCCTGCCCCACTGACCACGGCGATCACACTCTCCATAGCCTTCCTTTTGCTACCAAGGTTCTTACAGAAACCTTTCTCCTGCTTCTTCACCTCAAGGCTTGCTAGTCTCAACTCCACCTGAATGCTGGCTTGCCTAACTCGGCTCCTTCAGGCACGGGCAATATTCCTCCCATGCAGCCTGCCCCTGCCTTCATCTTCTGGGTACGTACTTTCTGCGCTGGAGCTCAGTCAGAAGCCCCGTCTTCATCCAGGCTGGCCTGCTGCCATGCTTGTTTGGCTTTCTGCACATTGCAATGTACCGTTCTTGTGCTTGGAGGAGGCTGTCTGGGAAGATCTTTCTCAAGAAATTGTCCTCTGGATTGTCTACCCCCAGACACTTTGCCTGTCCAGTACATTTTGGGATGGCTAAAGTCACCCATGAGCACCAAGGCCTAGGATTGTGGGGCTTTGTCCCGCTACTGGGTAACAGCTTTCTATTAGGTACCTGCTACATCATGACGTGTGCTGGTCTGTCCTGTGCTCCTTACCTGCAAGCTCTGTACTGGTTCATCACCTGCCCCAAGGCAAAACTTCATGCATTCAAGCTATGCCTTTGGATAGAGTGCAGCCCCTCTACATTGCTTTCTCACCCTGTCTTTCCTGGGGAGCGTTCACTGCCCACCACCTCTCTATAATCCCACTGAGGTCACAGTTCTGCAACATGCACAGTCATCCAGTTCCTCCTGCTTGTTCTCCATGTTATGTGCATTTGTGTACTAGCATTTGAGATGGGTTCCAAGCTGTTCTGCCTTTGCAGAGGAAGGGTGAGATCCTCTGCTTTCAAGCTATTACCCAGACGCGTCTGCTCTTCCAGTTTTGGTAACCCTCCACCCTCCATCCCTAGTTTAAAGCCCTCCTCACTAGTAGTTTGCAAAGACCCTTTCGCAGCACTTTGTTAGATGTATCCCATCCCTGCTCAGTAGCTCCTCAAAAAGAGTCCTACGGTCCTAGAGGCCAAAGCCCTGCCTGCAACACAAGCCACACAGACAGGTGTTGACCTGTTGGATGAGTCCACTTCTATTCAAGCCTTTCCTCCCCATTAGAAAGATTGAGGAGACGTGGCCTGGGCCTCTATGCCCTTCACCCTCACCCGAGAGCTCTGTAGATTACTCCAGGTTACCTCTGGAACAGTTGTTGGTACTGCTGATACCCATATGGAAGAGCAGCAAGGGGTCCATGTTAGAGGGCTGGACAAACCTTGGCAGTGTCTGCAACATCACATATCCTGCCCCCTCGTAAGCAACAAACCTTCTGAGACATCAGGTCAGGTCAGAAGATAGGGGTCTCCATCCTCTGCAGGAGGGAGTCTCCAGTAACTATCACTTGCCTTTTCCCCTTTTTGTGTGCACTAGGTTCAGGCTCAGCTGGCTCTGGTGAATCCCTTGATAGTTTTTGTTTGTTCTCACCAGTACCTACAGATTCTGAAGTTGCAGATCTGCAGGTCATACAGATCTCCAACTCCTTCCTGTTGCCAGAAGTCACAAGCTTCCAGCCTTTTCCATCTTGACATTCTCCCTCCGCTATGGTCTCCAACTGTCACCCCTTCCTTGCCTTGTGTGGCCGGAGCTTTCCACAAACACCATGTGAGTCTCCTCTTCACCTTCCCTGATCGTGCACAGCCTGCTAATCTCTTCCTTCACCACCTTCACCTGGCACCTCAGTGCCTTGACCAGAGAATACTTCCCACAAAAGAGGTCACTGTTGTCCCCAGCTCCAGACAGAGGCAGCAGGCACTCTCCACAGCACAAGACCTGGACAGAGTGGGATCCTTCCCCTGGAGCTCTGTCTGGGTCGAGGCCTCTGACATGCCAAGGGTGTTGGCACCAGTCTTTGAAGCAGGTGGTTGAATGAGATGATCCCAGGTCCCTTCCAGCCTAAATTATTCTACAATTTGGTGTCAAGAATCCTGTTGAATATACACCGACATCCAAATAGTTTCATTTTAAGAAGCAGTAAACGTCCAAAATGAATACTCTCCACAGGAGGTGCATGGTACACTGTTACAGCATCCAGCATTTGGTACAGGGAAAGACAGAACCTCAGACCTGAGGCTCCTCTGTGTTGGTGTGAGGGCAACTAAAAGAGCTGGGACCAGGTTTGGATGTCTGATTGCAGTCCTTAAATACGAGGAAATGATTGCCAAAGAAACATGACTTGCACTGTATATTCTATTGCCAGATCATTCCTGAATGAGCTCATAAAGCTATGGCTTAATTAACCCCCATTCCTTGCATTCTGTTTTTCTTCCTGTGTGCCCAAGACAACCATACACCTTCCATTGCAGATAAGAAATGAGCCCAAAATTTCACTCAGTTTCAATGTCTGGCTGCTGAGCCTTCTCAATCACTTCAAATACAAGCAGTGTTTTTTGTAATTCCACATAATTCTGAAGAAGAAAGAAAAACAGAGAGAGATAAAATCTTTTATCACAACGTACTCTATAGTCTTCACCGTGTGATGTCAAAGTAAAGACTTGCAGACTATCCTGTTGAAGCAGTGGTTCCCCAAGCAGTCATTCAGCACAGACATATCCCCTCCCAACACAATCCAAATAAGACCACATATAAGAAGATAAATCACAAAAACCTCCAAATACTGCTGAAATCTACTTATCCACAAGTCTTACTTCATCATGCTCTCCACTCGCCTCCTTACATATTAGCGGGTCAGTAGCAACAGTAAAACTTTCTGGGTGAAACCTGACCCACACCTTCGTGGCCTACAGGACAGCTATACAGAGCAGGTCGCACACTACATGGAATGACTGCATTATCCTAGAACAGCTTAAGAAAAGCTTCATCTAACTCTGCCTAACCATGTAGAAAGCAGTGACTGTCCAAATTAAAATTTTCAGTTCATAGACTTCCTAAAGCAAACAGATCATGAGTATACTTTTTGTAAGACAAATCTGTGAGTATGTATATAGATTTCGTATCTGTGTTACTGGGTTGCTGGGCTTTTTAATTTTTATTTCTGTTTTTTTACTTTAATGCCTGTAATATCCAAGTGTTGGGGTCATTTTTACCATCCAGGAACTAAATTAGCATGATACACTCAACATATTTTTTTTCCTGTACTTCAGCCTGCAGTCTGCCTGCATGAATGCATTTAAGCCCTGCCTCCTGCCCCTTTCCTTGCCAGTGGGCAGGAGAGACTATTATGACTTGCATCATTTCTTCACATTTGAGAGCTCCCTGCATTTTGTGAAACTTCATTTCTTTTCTATCCCTCCTCAGGACTGCTCATGCAATAGAGCTTGAAGATTCATTGCAGACTGCAGGCAAGACTCAGACTGCTGGGGCATATTCCTCCTCCCTTCCTCTCTCCCTGCTGCTGGTGCACTTGTACAGATACTTAGCACTTACATAACACTAGCCTGCATCTGCAAAGCCCTCTCAGCACCTTGTCATCCATCTAGAAAGAGGCTGGGCCTCTATTAGTGGCCACTGATCAATCATTTCAGCACCTGACTGCTGAAATACCAAAAAGGAAAAGGAGTCTGGAGTCAGGCCAGAATGAATATGCACAAGTCAAAGGGAGAATCCCTGGGTAGATGAACAAGTTATTCAAATTCACCAAAATAAGTGAAGGATTAAAAAAAAAAAAGGCTCTGTACCAAAACTATCCCTTGTTCCAAATGGGAGCACAGAGTCACAGAGTCAAATCTTGTAAAAATTTGACTAATTGTAGAACTCAGAAGAGAGCTCTGCAGTTGACATTTCCACTGTTCATTTGTGCAGAACCAAATTCTGGAAAGATTACTTACAATTAAATTTTCATTCACAGCTCTAAGCTTAAATTCAGGGAGACAGCAAATTTTAAGCAGATGAACTAAACTGACAGGAGCATTCAACTTCATAGTACACACTCCAGCATCCCCTGAACTACAGGGTAAAAGATAGCCCAATCGGAGGTTTTAAAAAGACAACCAAGGAATAAAATAAATCAAAAGTATCTATACCATGCTTTATAAAATTTCTTTTCTATACATAAAGTTTAATGACACCCTACCAATATTAAAAACAAAAGCGAACAACATTGCAGATCCATCAGACTTGGAACAAAACAAAACCAAAGACCAGATCACAGAAAACTGATAATTTTTCCTGGTGGTCCAGGTCCACAAGGGGTATTAGATTTATTTTAAGTTGTCTTTACTTTAGTCTTTGGGTACTTTAC